ATAATTCTTAGATACCCATTTAAGTTTCTATACCACTGGGCATGTTCGTAATCGTATGCCATCAACATGAGTGAGAGGCTCACTAAAGTTAAGTCATTCACTACATGTTTGAATATATAAAATGCATTAGTTTCTAATGTTAGGACTCTTAAGGCGTCTTTAGGGTTAGCTCTATTTTTCTTTAAATTTTGAAGTTTTTCAAAAAATGAATCAACATGTTTTTCCATGGTTTACTTCATATTCTTCAGAAATGATTATTCTAAATATATTATATCATCATTTTATAATTAGTTATTAATATCACTTTATATTTCTTTTTCAAATTTACTAATTTTATTCAACTATCTAGGTTTAACAGTAATACAATTTATTATAAGTTAAATATTATTATATGATATAATTCTTAAATATAACATAATAAATAAGGAAATATATTAGATTTTATAAAGAAATTAAACACCAAATATATATTTTTGTTAAGTGATTAACCAAAGTATTCTGCAAAAAATGATCTTATTTTATTCTAGCAAACATAAAATTCTCAGAAATTAAGATTTTCATGTTCTTTGTTATTAACATCTAATTAGATGAAAATAATACTATAAATTTTGAAATTAATTGGGTGAAATCAACACTTGTATTTTATAAGTAAACAATTACAACAAGTTCATAATTACTTTGTAAATAGAAGTCCATCTTAAAAATGAAGACACAAACAGTTTTTTCAAATTTTTAAAAATACTGTTCAATTTTTCAACATTTTGAAGAAAAAAATAAAGTACCTTTAACTTAAAAACAAATCAAAAAATGGAAAATGAAGCTTCATTGAAGATAATTTTATAGTCGACAAGATATGTGTGCGTAAAATAAAACATGAAGCTATCTATACATGAAATTGTTTAAAAAAAAAATCAAAATCCATTATATTATCTATGCATTGATTTTGCTGTGCAAAAAAAAAGAGAAGAAGAAAAATTGTTTAATATCACGATCCATTCATGAATACACACGTCTCTTCAATTCAAAACCATTCATATGGATAGTTTAATAAGAAATCACTTTTGCCAAAGATACTACTACTCTATTAGGCTGCAATCAAGCTATTTCTTGACATTTATTTGAAAATTGAAACCTTTAAATAATTTAAATTGGATTTAGGACCAATAATTACGTTTTTACATCAATCTTTTTTTTTTTTTTTTGTCACAACGTTTTTACATCAATCAATAATAGTGTTTGAATGTATGGTTTTGGGGGATGTTAATTTTGAAAATAATTTATTTTTTTGTGCATTAGTAAATGACTAACAATCATATAACCGGATGAAGTTTGGTCGAATGTAGCTATCGTAAGCGTAAAAAGATAGACTTGTGATCAAAATAGACATATGGGAAATATGTAAGTTGAAAACCCTCTCGATATGGTATACCTTTTAAAATTAGAAAAAAACACATTTAGTATAATAAAAATATATTCCTAAAGGAAAAAAATATCGAACTTTAATGCTAATATAAATACAGATCTAATAATCATAGATTTATCATTACATAATCAATATATATATCTTAAATGGTCATTTACCTCAATTGTGTTTTGTTCTTAAATTTCTTTGCTTTTTTTCAGAGATTAGTTTGCATTTCTTCACAACGGAAGATAAGAAAAAGATAAGACGTATATGCAAGTGTGAAGCATTGTTATTTTCTTTTCTTTTTTGATCAACTGAAGCACTGTCTCTCTACTATCCAAAAATATCCAGTGTATTACTTGACCCTAAACCATACACTTCGTTCTACCCCAACAAATTCTTGGCTTCCTCCCTTTTTGTTTCAGGCTAATAAACCGTTTCTTAGGACAAAATTCTATTGTTCATGTCAGTGATCAAGTCGAGTGTCGGTTACAACCATAGAGCAACACATATTCCTATAGAAAGAAGATTTAGTTCTTGTTCTTAATTTTTGACCAAAAAAAGATGTTCTTGTTCTTATTTAGGTAATTTCCAACCCAATACTAAAGCTCTAATATCATGTAATTCTGACACAAAACTTTTCTAATCTAATACTAAAATCACACCATTTTACTGTAACACTATCATTTTACACCAAATTAGGTGTGATACTATTTGTCTTACTAAAATACTATTCACTCTATTAAAATACTATTTACTTATTTTATTAACAAAATGACAAATAAAAACATAAATACATATAATATTATAAAATAATTTTTAGTGTTAAATTTGATATTGTAGTTGGAGAAAAATTTATTTTTAGTAGTGAAATTACCGTAAAATAGTGTTTTGTGTTGGAAATGTCCTTAGGATAGTGAAACATAAATCATAGAACACCCAAATATAGCAAACAGTACTCACCGTAAAAATTACTTGACTAGTGGGTCCAATCACTATAGTTTAATAACATTCTTTGGTAATGATTTGTTTGTCGGAGTTAAGAAATTCTCACTCACTCATGAGTAATGTCGACAAAAGTAGACAAATGTTTCTTATAGTTGGTTGGGGGAAAACATAAGTAAAGGTAAATAGAGCTGAGGAAAGGTAAAGTCATAGTTCTGCTTTATGCCGGCATACTTATTTCACACATTTGATCACTTTTAGGAACTTACATCAACTATTTGAATAAGAGGTAACTGTTTTCTCAATTAACATCATGATTCATGAAGTAGATCTTGAAATAAATTTATGTTTTGCTGAATTTAAGATCTTCTAAATATATATTGAGGTTTGGATTTTAACCATTCAAGTGTAACCATGAGCAATCCGTTCACCAATTTTTTTTTATGAATTTATAAAAACTACACCATTTCAACTTGCCTAGTAGGTGTGAAAGAGTTATTATAAAAATCAAACTTGGAAGAAAACTGAGTGAGTAGCATCATGTCGTACGTTTTGGTTACCACTAACCACCACCAGTATAGTTTAGTTTAACCAAACTTAGCATCATGTATTCATATTCATTCTCAGCTCTTATTATCTTTATTCTCACATACATAAATCATATAGTGGAGTTGTGCTAATGTTCCATGAATAATTGAGAAAAACACCATTTGGTATCGGATCTAAACGAAATATTCTCCCAATAAATTGGATTATATCTTTAGAATTTTATAATGAGAGGAGAAGATATTTATGAAGACAATTATTAGTTATGCATGTGAACGTGATTTGTTTACTTTTGGATTTAGAGCTTAGTAGCAATCCGTAGATAAGAAATCGGAATCGGACATAAAGCCAAACAAAGAGTGATCAATAAGTTCTAAAGACATAACCACGACAATGTCACTTGTCCATTATTTTATATTCTCACTTCAATTTGTTCCCTCTCTTGTCTTTTCGCTAACTGTACATGACATTGCCTTTTCTTAAAATATCATTCCTTTGCATTATGATTCTGTGTTAAACGTACTAAAAAACAAAAAGACTTTTATGGTTTATTACCTGAAAAAAACCACAATAACTACAATGACTTTTAAAGTTAATCACGACGACATGAATATTTATTGAATAGCATTACAAGTATACTTTGGAGATGCATAAGCATACACTTGGAGAGAGTATACGAGCATGCATGACAACTGCCATGAACATGTGAATATGTACACACTTCAAACATTTTACAATTCAATCGAAAGAGAAACTTTAAATATAATTCCTTCAGGGGTTATGTTATTTTGCTTATGTACAAACCACGCCGCGTAAAGTAAACCGAGAGGAAAACACTCGAAACAGACACAGAGCAGATATGGCTAATGTTACGGCCAAAGATGAAAGTAGTGAACCAGTTGATAGCGACATAGAACTGGTTTCTCTCGAGTAAGATACACCGAACTCCATATGATATCCAGTTTGCTTCCTGTCCAAGTAATCTTGGCATGTAAATAATCAGACACAAAAAGAAACAATCGTGTGAAGCGATGAGACACACATAAACAGGAATTCAACGAATCAACTTCTTAAGAAAAAACTCTATCATAGATTCATAGTAACATGAATGTCGTCCTACAATATGAGCATATCGACATATCGTTGACGAATATATTTCATGATAAAGTCATTCAGTTCACCACTGAACTCTACCACGGTTGGTCACCAAATAAACATGGGTCGACGATCTATTTTCCCATGAGAAGTATCATATAACATCAAATGTTAACGGAACCATGACTCTGTTTTATACCCCTGAGAATAAAGTTTGCAACATATTTCCCCACCAAATTTGGTTTAGTTATGATTTCTGAAAATTCAATTTCAAATCTCCACTCTCATATAATAAAACCGAGTAAAACTAAACCAAAATAAAATTAAAAACCCGACCAAACCCTGATCTAGATCAGAACAGTAACCCGATCCAACCTTCGAACTTAAAAATATCCGATTGATTGAATCTTAATTCGGTTAGTCATTGCCTTAACATGATCTATGGTTTGTTTATAAACAGTAAACCAATAAAAATCGATTTTGTGGGTTTTTAGATTTCGATCTTTATAATTGTGGAGAAATATCGATATAACTTTAATTTGGTGGGGAAATAGGTTACAAATTTTATTCTCAGGGACAAATAGAACGGGGTCATAGTTCCATGGACATTTGGTGCTATACGATACTTTTCGTGTGGAAATAGATCGTCGACCCAATAAACATATCATGAAAGCATTTGAAAATACCTCGACGAAAAGTTGTTTCTCTCAAAAAAGATTTGTGCCAATCGAAAATGAAAACTTTTCAACTGTCTTCGGTACTTAAAACATAAAAATTCATTTTTCTTACCAGGCCTTGGGGCCATCTATTCTAAAAATATCGTGGGTCTAGATAAAAGAAAATAAGACCCATAACTATACATGTAATAAGAAAAAACCAAGAAGCTTGGCAGAAGTTGAAGAAAAATTATTAGTCAAGAAGAATCCTTATCTTAGGAAAGTCGTGATAGAAAATGTGTTTACTAACTTTGAAATTTTGTGTGTCACAGACTCTCAGCAATTCAAAAAGTCGTGATATGTATTATATTGATATAAAAGCAAATTAAACGGCACTAACACCGCACACACACACACACAAATGAACTGTACAAAACGTAAATCTAGTAAGAATAATAAGTTGAAATCGATGTCAAATAACTGAATAACACAAATGCAAACAGTTTGTTCTTTATGTGAGGTTACATAATTTTTAAAAAACTGTTATATTGCTCTCGCAATATACGTATTATTTGCAGGTATAAGAAGAGAAATGAAGAAGAGAAGAAAGATGGTTATATATCATCTCAGCGTCTGCGGCGTCGATCGCCAAACGGTGGATCGTGTCTGCTGTTAGCTGAAGGCTCTCCGTAGTCGTTGGTGTTCACCATCAGCGAACGTTCTCTCACCACCATCATTTCATTTCCTAGATACATTACAAGTTAATTAGAAAAGATTGATGATAAATTGATAACACGGAGTCAAGGATTGTACAAAAGATCGTCTTAGTAACATATAGAGTATCTAGACAGAGCGCAATACTTTTTTCAGTTATTTAACTATAAAGTAGAAATTCTATAAATTAATACCATATAAATTAATATAAATTTTACTGTTTTCGAGTTAGATTAATGTAAATATGATAGAAATCGATAAATAATAAAATAATATTTTTAAAAAAAATATCATGTAAATATATGATCACAGTATAAAGATTTATTAATAATTAATATATATATACATAATTTATATATATTGTATAGTTTGTTTTTATTTCACAGTAAAATGTATTTTTATTTTTAATAATTTTTCATTATGTTGATGTTATTTTTCATTTTATACTTCAAATACATCTATATTTATGTTACATATTTTCTATACACCAAATAATTGCATAAAATTCAAACAGTACATATACATCAAAATCAAGTATTCTTTTTATTTTAGGTAATAACGTATGTGAAAATATATTAATCAGTCTTTTTTGTAAATTAATAACTCTATAATTAATAAAATAACAAAGTCCCAACTATATTTATATTTTCTCCTTCAAGGTTGTCTATTGATTGTTATTTGCGTTTTACACAATTATTTACTCATAATCTTATATTTTAGAATGTTTTATATCTCAACTCAAATAATTAATAACATGTAAATAGTTTCCAAAAGTCAGCTTGTTTCGGTAGAGATATAATGGACTATATAATTTGTTTTTCAGCTGCCATCTATATTGAAATCTTATTTCCATTTCAACTTGCAATTAAAAAAAAAGTCTGTTGACTTTGATAAAATAATCGTCGTCTGATCTGTTCTTGTTCTTTTCTTCTAATGTCAACTCTTTTGAAATGTGTACATGAATTTTAACAGTAAGCCTTATGTTATAGGGAATAGTTTTACATTACAAGAAAAGAAAACTCGCATAATAATATTTGTTTTCATCATCAGATATTGTAGTTTATAATTTTAGGTTTATATGACGTACTTTCTTACTGGATTAGTCGGTATCAAAATTAATGTATATCTTTCCAAAGTAAATATGATTAGCCGAGTGAACAAAGTCATCGGCGAAAGGTAAAATTAGATGCAAACAAACTGGAAACAGAGTACACAAAACTAAGATATACAAGTATAAAACTCTAACAATAGATATATGGCACAATCAAAAAAGAAAAAAAAACAAAACAAAACAAGAGATATCTGCAACTTGTTTTATATATGAAAACATACATGTCAATTGTCAAGTACTTTTATTTAGACTTAGCGTGCCAGTAGAACGCATCCTCTTATTTATAAGGTCTATTGTCAGTTTACTTTAGTTTTATGTTATTCAATTGAAGTGAAATCTCGCAATTTTATTTGCATGGAATAAAAACTAGCTGTGAAAATACATGGGTGACGTTTAAAATAATTAGCTTAAGGGGAATATTGCCGTATAAGCAAGTTAAAGTGCAAGGTTCAATTCCAGCAATTGACATTTTTATTTCCATATAATTTCTTATATTAATACTATATATATATGTATATAGTGGACCAGATAAAAACTTGTGTTGTCAAACCCAAAACAAAAATACTCCTGATATATTAAAATGGCGAGAAAAACAACTTCAAAACAATAGTTTTAACATGCACAAACTGAAATTCATTTTTTCCTTTTAAACAATTTACTCCTGCAGAACAAACACCAAATATCACGTATTTGTTATTTCATGGGCTCATGTATTGTTCTTTTTGTGAACCTGTGTATGCATCAAGGATCATTTATATTATGTTGTATGTAAATATGAATGATAAATATACTATTTTCTCTTTTGTTTGTGTAATTAATAACTTTTTGTTATTTTCTCTTTAAAATTATAAAAAATTAAGGTATTTAAAATATATATATATATATATTAAGGTATTGTTCTCTTTGGTGATAATCTTGAACAATCTTTTATAGTATACACAGTTTTACATATGCATCATGTGAATACCCCACATCACCATGCAATAATTTTGTTGGGAAAACATTTGATTCCGATTTTTTAAAACTTGGAATATCCCGGTCATGTACATAGAAGTATACAAACTTGTGTAATACACACATAAATTATCTCTTCGAATATTCAAATGAGCAGTAAATAATGAGTTCATATCCGCATGCCGAATCGATAGAATATAGTGGGTTGTCGTCGAACTCATATTTCTTAGCAACCCAAAGGTCGACGCCAATAAACCACAAGCGTGTGGTTTGATTCTGAGATATTGCATCCAATAACTTATAGAATTGTTCTTTAACGTAATTTTGTCTTTGGTAAAACTTTTTTTTATGAAATGATTACTAGATAGATATACATACGATTGTGAATAAGTAGTAGATATGCTTGGAAATTCGATAACCAAAACATATAATCTTACACAGAAATATACATACTTGGAGAGGAAGAAAATTACCTGAAAATGAAAGACTGAGGCGAGCAGAAGAGACGAGAGCACATGTGAAGATGATCAGGAACAAACATAACACAATTGATGAAGATGATGAGTAACCCATTCTTTCTCTCTCTACATATATCCTTCTTGTCCTCCCTTCTATATTTATAGACGCCAGAAAGATGTCTCACACCGGCCTTTAGGTTTGAGGCTTTCTTACATTATATTATCACTTTGATTTAACTATACCTATTTCCAAGCCATAATAATTCATGTAAATTATAATTTTTTTATTGTGTTATTTTTTTAACATGATTACATTTGACCGGGACTGTAGTTTAATAGTTTTTATTAGTACTATACTAATCATCATTATGTTATCATTCATATTCAAACCTGGTCAAATTCGTGTGTATGTATTTGGATAGCCAAAAACTGATATACTATATTATGAGTCTGAAGGTATACCGAATTTACGGAATTACTCAAACTAATTTTAAAGCTCAGTTACAGTCCATGGATAAATACTCTCTCCAACTATTCAAATGAAATATAAAATATAACACTATTCCCAAACCTGTTTACGATTAAACTATACCATCGTGTAACTAAAACAAATATAAATATATATATATATATATATATATAAATATATTTAGTAGGTATTATTTATACAAATTGAAATTATCTCTAAGAGAATATATTTAGATATATTCATATCTTGTATTATACTTATCTAATAAAGATCTCATGCCATTTTATTAAACATTTCTGTATAAATATGTGATGAAATTTTTTTATCTATATATACAAAGTAGATTTTTTTCTCTTTTTTTTTTTAACGAAACATTGCTTAGATAAGATACAAAGTTACTCGGCTACAAAGGCAGGTGAACTTAGAACATACAAGGTTGTTTTCACAAGGGAATCAGCTACAAAATACGTTAAACGCGGTACAAAACAAAAGGAGATAGATTCAAAAGAACGAGCCGCGACAAGTATGTCATGAAGAACACCTTTCAAGCTAACATCTTATCACTGAGACTTCAAGAGCATGATGAGAGATTTAGAGGCAGAGCAGACACGAAGACTGCTGACATGAGAAGAGACTATTGCCTTAATTGCAGCTTTTACGGCCAGGGCCTTAGCCACAAGAGCTTATGGCACAAAGAGCCGGTATGAAGAGAATTTTTCTGTGCAAACATATCTACGGAATCACGGAGTTGCCAGCCAATCCCACACTTTCCCGTTGAAGAGTCCCACGCTGCATCTGAGAAAGAGGACCAAGTAAAAGAGTTAGCAGGTGGTAAGTATAATGATGGGACCACAATGTGTGGTAAGGATGGCTTTTCAACATAAGTTTGAGTTGCCTTCCAAGCTCTAACATCTTGAATCACTTTTAGCACTGAATTCTCCTCTGAAAAACTCTTGTTTTCAAACATAAATTTATTTCTGTTTGTCCACAGAATCTAAAGGATCCACGGGTAGAGAGGGGGTGATTCCTAGACCAGAAAGAAGGAGAGATATTATTCTTTTGCAGTGCTGTAACACTTGAGCAATAGAAATGATGTTGGTGCTTGATGGTTTGTAGAGGCTAGGGACCAAGTCCCAAATTCTCGCTGCATAGGGGAATTTAAGGAAGACATGAAACTCAATTTTCTGAGCTCCGCATCTTTTACAGTCCGGGGGAATGGAGAGCCCTCTAGACGCCAGTAACGATCCAACCAGGAGGGCCCTGCTGTTGGCTTTCCAAAAGAAATGTTTTATCTTTGGGGACGTTTCAATCTGCCACACACATTTTTCCCAATCAAACTCACAGTTCCTTGCATCTCCATTAGCAATTTTGGCAGCTGCATAACCTGATTTTGTCGAATAAACTCCCAAGGCGTTTGGTAGCCATACTCTTTCATCCTCCAGCAAAAAAGTACTCGGTACAAGTTTGCTAATCTCCTCCTCATACTGAGGTAAGTTCTGTCTGATAGTAAAAACATCCCAGTCTTTTGAGACTGGATTTATGAGTTTATTAACACACCATGATTCATTCTTCAGCGGTTGTGGACCAATGGGAGCCATAGGTTTAGTCGTAAACAGCCAAAGTTCTGTCCAAATGGTAACATTTTTTCCAGAGCCATGGGCCCAACCCAGACCTTTTGTTAAAAGGTCTCGACCAATGAGGATCCCTCTCCAGCCATGGGAGATCCCATTTGTTGCAGGCGTCTCTAAGAAGAATGTCCTACTGCAATACTTGCTAAGTAAAATCCTTGCAACCAGAGAATTTGGGTCCTTAAGAATCCTCCAAGAGATATTTGCCAACATAGCATCATTGGAATGTGCTATATCTGCAAATCACGGGCCCCATCACTTAGAGGTTTTGTAAGTTTCTCCCATGACACTCAACACATTTTTTTATTTTTGGGGAAAGATCCCACCAAAATCTTGTGAGGATTGATTGGAGTTGTTTTACTAGAGACATTGGCAGCTTGAAGCAAGACATATAGTAAGTTGGCATAGCAGATAATATCGACTTCAATGGTACCAATTTTCCAGCCCCCAAGAGGGATCTCGTCGTCCAGCTGTGAGCCTTTTGTCTCAAGCGATCCACCAAGGTGCAAAAATATTTATTTTCTTCCTTCCAAAGTGTTCCGGCAAGCCAAGATATTTACCAATACCTCCTTGAGATTTTAAACTGCTCCCGGATACGTCGTTTTGCCTCTCCCGGTGTCTTAGCTCCAAAGGTGATCGAAGATTTTTCAAGATTAATGAATTGACCCGAGGCAGATTCATATTTCTTAAGAATCGAGATAAGGGCATAGCAACTCTTCACATCCGTTCTTCTAAAGAACACGGTATCATTCGCAAAGAGCAAATGTTTTATTGCCATACTACAACGAACTGATGCTCCTGAATGCTGCAGGTAATGAAGAACCTCATGTGTAATTAAGACATTATCCGCAATCGATCGACCTTTGACAAAGGCTGATTGATGATCAGAGATCAAACTTGGAAGGAGGGGCTGTAGTCTTCGTGTTAGCAGCTTCACTATAATTTTGTAGTGTGTGTTGCAAAGCGCAATCGGGCGATACTCTGTCACTTTCCTCGGTCCCACAACCTTTGGGATTAACCTCACATGGGTTTCACTCTGGCGAGGGTCCATTGTTCCGGTCGCAAAGAAGGCTTGTATATCCTTTGTAATGTCTTCACCTATAATGTCCCAAAATGATTAGTAAAAACTAGCCGAGAAAACGTACGGTCCCGAAGCTTTATCCGGGTGAATGGAGAACAAAGCTTCCTTCACTTCCAGAGTAGTAGGAGAAGCAGTCAATAATATCTGATTCATCTTTTTGGTAACCTTGGGAACGATCCCTTCCTGAACCACCAGAGAGGAGTCTGACATTTGAGATGTAAACAACCGACAATAGTACTCAATAATTGTTTGAAAAATCTTTTCCTCTTTAAAAACAGCCTTGCCTTTATCATCCTCAAGTACTGAAAATTTGTTAATTGCTCTTCTTCCCCTTGTTGTAGCATGGAAAAAACAATTTTTTCTGTCACCACTGTGAAGCCATTGTATGCGACTTCGTTGGCGCCAATACAATTTCTCCTCCTTGTAGGCCGCTTTGAGATTTTCCGTGAGTGTTTCTATGATTGTTGCATCCGGTGTTACGCTGGATAAATCTTCCTCTAACTCAGCTTGTACCCTCTTGATGATGATGTTACTATTTAAATTCTTCTCCCGAGTCCATAGGATGATATTGTGTTGTATACGGCTGCTCTTAGCCATAATAGCTTTGACGGGCTCCTTGCTTCAATGATCAGCCGCAATTTTCCGGATTTCATGTTTGTCTTTAAGGCATCTATCGAAACGGAACAAGCCTCATTTCTTTCTACAGGTAACATCAAAGTGGACCACTATAGGTCGGTGATCCGAACCTTCAAATCTGAGGTACTCACAACGTCCTGCCAGAAAGCGTTCAAACCAACCGCAATTTTCCATTGCTCTATTCAATCTTGATTGAATAAAATGAGTATATCTAGTCCCTCTCCAGGAGAAATTATTTTCAGAATACTGAAGATCCCAAAGGCCCATCTGAGAAACAAAGCTCCTAAAAGAGAGGAAGGAATATTCCCAGCGAGCTGGACCTCCGACTTTTTTAGAATTATCTAGCAGATCATTAAAATCTCATGTAATCAGCCAAGCCTCATCTCTATCAGCGCCAATTTCCATCAATTTTCTTGAGAGGGTTGGGCGATTTGCGGCAAGTGAAGCTCCATAGATAAAGGATGCGAAACAAAACATTATTTGTGCCTCAATACGAGTATCAATAATATTTGCAGAGGATAAAAGAATTTCAACCTGAATATCATCCTTCCAAGATAGCGAGAACCCTCCTGCTAAACCCACCGGGGAACGTGAAATGGTTAGTGAGGCTTGAGTTCCTGAACAACCTGAAAATGGCTACATTTTCATTTTTTGTTTCCATAAGAAAAAGTACAGCTGGTTAGATCTTCCTATGGAATTCCTTTATACGCTGGACCGTAAAAGTTACCTTAATTTCTTGACAGTTCCAGCTCACACATGCTAAGGAAGAGATTTCGGAAGAGGATAAAAATCTTTCCCCTTTTTCACCACTGTTGAAAAGGGTTTAGGTATGGCCAGTGTGGATCTTCCTTGCGACACACCTTCTCTTAACATTAATACCTTGGGTAGTATTGAGGCTTGATCTCTTATTTAGTTGTGGTTTATCCATAACTTTTTTCCCTGCAGCTTTGGAGAGACCATGTTCACCCGGTTGTTGGTACTCTTCATCTTGCTTCCCACTCTCAGATTCAGAGGGAAAAGGGTATAAGAGAAGGGATACATTGATCATGTTTTCACTAAGAGATCGAATGGGTAATCTTTCACAGGGGCCCAATCTCCCTGAATCAAAAAAATTCGAAGTCGACAGGTGAGTAATGGTTACATTAGAAATTGAAGTTGGCGTTTCCACCAAGTCACGTACTTCTTCTTCCTGCATACTTCTCCTATTCGAGGAAGAATCGTTTTGCCTTGATCAACTTGTTCGTTGAGTCTGAACTGAGAGTCTTCTTGAGTCAAAAACATTAGCACTCAATGGGAGAGTAATGGTCCCAGTAGGAATTGGGATAAGATTGTCCTCCAAGTCACGTACTGTATTGCTT